GTGATAAATTGTATCTTAATGGTATAACAGAAAATTCCATGTTGCTTAGAATCGACAAAGAGGAGGTTTTGGAATATTGAGGAGTCAATGCCTCCACTGCACAGTGGCTGTGGCATTTCACGGTCAAGCATGAAGTGGCAGAACTAATTCTAGGTTTCAGTGGCTGCATTTTGATTAGAACAGCAAGCCAAAGTGCTCATACTTTTTGTGCGTTTATTTAATGCACAATTTAAAAATCTCTCCAAGGCATTCGTTGCAGAAAACCATTCTTATACCTTAAATGCCAGCATATAATAAACTGAATAGGCATCTTTTCATGTTTCTTTGTAATATTTTCTTGTTTTGCCAAACAGGAACTCTGAAGTACCTACTGAACCTACTGAAGCACAAAAGAACTGAAGAAAAAACTGAAAAACACACGAGGAAGGCGTCCATTCTACACTAAGTATAGAAAGGTGTGAAAGGCCCAATGCCTCTAATTAACCTGCCACACTTTCATGTGATCTGCAGTTTCACCCCAGATTACATGCATTGTGTGCTTTTAGGTGTATTGCAGCATTACACAGAACTGTGGCTGTTTGCAGTAAATGAGCCATATTACGTTGGCTTACCACAAGCTTTTTCTATTATGGATGAATGCCTATGTGCAATTAGCCCACCCCCCCTCCCGTCAGTATCACGTCTGCCTCACTGTCTTTCAGTGGAAAAATACTGAAAGGCTAGCGTATCGCAGCAATAGTTGTGTATTGTTCGCTACCATGTCTTGAGAGCTCTTGCCAGCACAGTTTGTAAGCACTTTTCGCTTCTCGTACAAGACATTGCACTCATACTGCAAGACACAGTTAGCACACCTGAAATTACCGCTTGTACGACCTGCCTTGCACGGTTTGTAGTTGATGTGCAGTTCTTATGTAGGGAAAAGCACATGACATACAATGTCCATCAGCTGATGCACATTTCAAAAAGTGTGGTGCTGCAATGACCCCTGTGCACACTCCTGCTTTAGGTTTGAGTCCGAAATTGGCCGTTTCAAAGAACTGGTACTTTGAGCTAAGGGACCAGGGTGTGCCAATTGAAATAGTGGAACGGATCTTGACGTGAAGCAGCTACAAGAACTTGTGTGCACAAGCAAGTCCACAGACTTTGTGTTTTTGGTAAAGCCTGGCCGTTCAAGCACTGAATCAGCTGTAACCCTTGTCAGGAAGCCGCGGCAAGTAAATCAACATCTGCTAAACTTGGTAAAAAATGAGCTTGACTGCATCATCTGCGAACCTGTTGTTGAGAATGACAGAGTGATTGTAGCTGGGACCATGTTCCACAGTGAACAATACACGAGGCCGAGCAAAACGGTCAGCACTTCCCTGATGACTGCGCAAGAAGAATGCCTGGAAATCAAGCACATTGTTTCACTCAAAGATGTTACAAACTCTATAGGAATATTCACTGTGTCGCGTAGGTTCTATTCTAAGTGTGCCTATAACACAAGTCACGTTTCGAAATGTCAAAGGGCGAATCAGTAAATTTTAGTAGATTTGTCCACAAATGTTACTACATGCACCTATGTTAAGTGCGATAGAAAAATATTTCTTGTAAGGCTGGCACCAAAAACACTGTTAGCGAACTAAAGCGGGAGCCATACATGTGTGGTGAAATTTTAAATAATTTGTCAACTGAAATAATAGCTAGGTTTTTATGACCACGTACAGTTCTTGTCGAATTTTTCTATAAGTTACCTTTGACAACAAATTTCGAAACTTTAGATGTTTGTGTTGTTTGATGATCGAGCAAATTCAGGTCAGCTTTTCTGGATGATTATAAAAATGCAATGTTGCTTTTAAGAAATTTTAGCTTGGTTTTACAGCACGTATGAGTGCTCATCTGAACTTTCAGCACCTCGTGACACTGCTATTGGTATGATGTAGACAGAGGGCCTTTGTGACGTTCCGCAAAAAATTAACATTGTCAACGTCGCAGAGCATTCATGGTGGGTACATTTTGGGTTCATATTTCGTGAACCGTACAACGCCGTTTGTACTAGCAGTATTTTTAGCTTTGCTCACTGTTACTTGCAGTAAGAGCGCAACGCCTTGTATGAGGAGCGAAAATTACAATTCAATTTAGCATTACCAACTTCGCATGATGCAGTCAAAGCTGACAGACTGTGCCTTCTCTACAAACAAGTAGTACACAATTGCATTAGCTTACTTGCACGCAAGTGAAGTGTTTTGACCTCACTCATGTCATCTTTTTGTCAATTCATTAACAATAATTGGTTATAATGTTGAAATTGTGTGTTTTCATTGGCTTGAAATACAGTTATTATTTTGCATTTATTGGTGCCACTTTTTATCATTCTTAAAGGCTGATTTTTTTAACTTTTATTTGTTTATACAGTTTTCATACCAATAATTACCATTCTTATAAATCGGCATTAGGGCTGTCACGGTTTCTTGTCAAGATTATGTTTCTTGTCAAGATTAGCTGCCAGATTTTCCCGTGAGTGCGAAAGTCCAGATGTGAACAACAATCCTAATCATTCAGAGCTGCATGTTTACAAGTAAGCACTATCAACTGGAACCAGTGCGATCCAAGTTCCAACCCAGCAGCTTTCCACCATAACCTGTTCCATCTTCAACATGAGTTGTCCAACTTGAACCAATGAGATCCCACTTCAAGACCAGTAGCTTTCACAGGAACCTGTGTGATCCCACTGGCAGACGAGCAACATCCTACTTGGACCTGCGTGACCCCACTTCAAGACCAGCAACATCCTACTAGTACCAGCACACAGTCGGTTCAAAACCGGCAACATTCGTAGTGTACTGGTACCAGTACATTACAAGTTCAAAACCAACAACACCCGACTGGTGCCAGTACCCTGTCAGTTCAAAATCAGCAACATTCTACAGATACCATTTCAAGACAAGCAGCCTTCTGCTGGGACCATTTGAAACCAGTTCGCTCCCAACTGCGACGAAAAGAAACTAGTGCACTCCACACTGGACAAGCAGAAACGACTGAAAACCAGTAGAGAAATTTTCACCTGGGCGAATTCGTCATATATGAAGCTAGCAAAACGGCCGCGAGTGCACCATGAGCGTAGCATGTAGTCACGTTGTTAGATGACAGGCATCTAACGATATCATGTTTACACCAGTCACATACCTTCGTCACCCATTGACGTGACGTAATGCCAAATTTGACATATTTCAAGCAAGCGAAATGGCCGTGAGCGCATCATGAGCGTAGCATGTAGTCACGTTGCTACATAGCAGGCACTTCATCATTCTCATGTTTGCACCAGTCAGATACCTTCGTCAGCCATAAACGGGACATATTACCAAGTTTGGCATACTTGAAGCTAACAAAACTGCCGCGACCACATCATGAGCGTAGAATGTAGTCGCGTTGTTACATGACACGCATCTCACGATTATCATGTTTGCACCAGTCACATACTTGCGTCAATCATTGGCCGGACGTAATACCAAATTTGGCATGTTTGAAGCTAGCAAAATGGCCACGAGAACATCACAATTTTTGCATGTAGTCACTTTGTTACATGCACGCTTGTCATTATTATGACGTTTGGACGTGTCATTCACCGCTGTCGTCCGTTCGCATCATGTAATACCGAATCTGGTGCATGTGAAGCTAGCGAAATGACCGCGAGTGCATAATGAGCGTAGCATACAGTCACGTTGTTACAAGACACGCATCTCACGATTATCATGTTCGCACCTTCGCCATTCATGCACATCCCGCAATACCGAATCTGGTATATGTGAAGCTAGCAAAATGGCCGCGAAGGCATCATGACTGTAGCATGTAGTCTTGCTGTTGCATGACACGCATGTCATGCTTTCCGTGTTAGGGTCAGTTGCTTGGGTTCGCCATGCAGTAATGTCATACGATAAATGTTTTTCAACATATCATGTAAACGAAACCACCGCAAGTGCCACAAGAGTCGCAAGAGCATGAAATCTGTACCGTTGCATTCATGACATACATGTCATGATTTTATGTTATGACTCGTCAACTATTCTAGTCATACAGTCATGTTACGCCGTACCAGTTTTGGAATCGATACCATTGTCAGAACGGCCAGGAGATCTAAAAGCCTTTCGCAGATAGATAGATAGATAGATAGATAGATGGATAGATAGATAGATAGATAGATAGATAGATGGATAGATAGATAGATAGATAGATAGATAGATAGATAGATAGATAGATAGATAGATAGATAGATAGATAGATAGATAGATAGATAGATAGATAGATAGATAGATAGATAGATAGATAGATAGATAGATAGATATGCTCGAACTCACCTAACTTTGCTAAGAAATGCCTTGCATTTAATAAAGTGCCAAGCTTCTCTTGGCACGTGGCGTAGCTCGTCTTCGTCTTCGAGCAGACGCTATGTTTACCGTTTTTAACAGTAACCACGCGTGGTCGACCTCGATCGCAGTGACCGTATCAATAGAGGACACTGCTAAGTGGCTGAAAGTTTGGTACGCCTTTCGCCCTCATCGCGAAGTTGGGTTGCAGCAAAAGACAGCTCGAGTGCCGCTCTGCTACAGGGAGTGGTCGCGTTTTTTTTTTTTTTTTGAAGCAGTAAGGTGCGATCCTTACTTGATATTCATGGTATACAATTCGCTGATGCACACGGATTCCTTTCGGCACAAAACCCCTTTCTTGGTTTCACGAGCAGAGTGGTGATGTGCACAAGTTCAGTTGCGTTTATGGTGACGAATAACAATGAAAATCATAGAATCGCAGAAGCACAGGTAAAGAAAACCCTGGGACGAGAATTAATGACGGACACAGTGCTACTTTTTCTGACTGTTTCCCAGTGCTTTTTTACACTTGTTCCCGACCTTCTGTGTTTCACGCGCGCCATGTTCATCAGTTAGCCGCAATAAATATCAAAGAGCTTCCTGGTCAATGTAAACTTCAAACTCAGAAGTCTGGCATATATCAACAAGTCTTCTTACCAGTGCGATGTTTTGAAGCCAGATAGCGTAAATTTTGCTGAGGTTCATTCCGTTTTTCTTGGCGAAGCGCCGGTTACCGTCAGGCACGATTGCAGCATGGCGCGGTATTATTCCCTGGCGAAGCACCCAGAGCACTACTCTTTCGTGCCAGTTCAACTTGACGTCCCAAGTTGGCAAGAACTCTGTGCGGGAAAAATGGGAAAAATATAACTTGCAAGTAAATCCTGGGGAGAAGGCCAAAGCAATTGTGCGTTGTAGCACTTAAGCAATGATAAAACACTTACAATACATGCCTGTCTACAAAAGTTTTTGAGTGTTTACATGCCCCTACATTATTGTTGGGCTAAGTTCCAGGCCAGTGGTTTTTGTAGCGGTGACAAGCCTCCTGTGGCAGCAGACTCTCCTGGTTTGGAACTTGTTCGTGTCCTAAAATACGTTCATACCCGCCTCGTGGAACAGTGGCTAAGGTGTTCGGCTGCTGACCCCGATGTCACGAGTCCAATTCCGGTTGCTGTGATAGCATTTCGATGGAGGCGGAATGGTAGAGTTCGGTGTACTGTGCTACGCCAGAGCTTCGTAAAGAACACCCGATGGTCGAAATTTCCTGAACCTTCCAGTACAGTGCTTGTCATGAAGATGCCTTGGTTTTGGGACATAAAACCTTAGATGATATTATTATTATTATTATTATTATTATAATATTATTATTATTATTATTATTATTATATTTCGAAAATTCATAATTCCGACTATGCATTTTGTTCACGCGCTGGTGATTTTGCATGTATTCAGTATACTTAGGTTTCAAGTCTGCTGGTAGTTCACAGTATTCGGATTTAATTAGTGCTGGGGTATTTTAGGTCATTATTAGTTTTTTTCACTGCATTGAAAAAATGCTCGTATTTTCAACAAGGTTCCAGAATTTCAACTCGAAAGAGTCACTGTAGAGTTTTTATAAAATAATTTGCCTTTTATTAATGAAAACAGAGGTGTACAAAGCCCTGCTCGGATTTCATAGATTGTTTATCATCAATAGGCATTTGTACGCACTTTAGCCTCACTCAACTTGTCACTTAGCACCTTTCTCGTTCATATCATTTTCATATTGAGTTGTATTCACTCCAGGACTCGTTCAGCAATATGTCGTCTCACCTGAAATAAACTATGTTAGCTCGATTCAATGCCATACTCAGACCTTTGCAAGGTTAAGGAATTGTGCAAATAATTCTTGAGTGTAAATTAAATTGCATTTTATGGCAATCTTTTTACACCTGCACTGCTCTAGTAACGTCGATAATTAGCGAAAAGGTGGTCTGCTAAATGGGCCGGCAAACGCATAGGAGAAAAAATTGTTATTCATGCTTCAGATCTTTTCGGTTTAACGCTCATCTCATTCTCTTCACAATCAGAAACAGACAGATTCGCCGCCGACTGTATGTGATCATTGATACTTTTACGCAGGTACGTATACTCACAATAATTACTGTTTGGGTTCTAATAACTATAGGTAAGGCAAGGTTGCTTCAATGAAAGCTAACATAAATTTACCAGCTTAAGTCACATGTTATTTGCTAGCGTCTCGGCCTCTTTAAGAATACTTTTCAATGCAAACAGATTCCTTTTTTCTAAAGGGAACGCTCTTTGTCAGATTATTCTGTATCTGCCTAGTTCATTCATAACTTCACTATCAAAACTTCATTGAGCCACACAAGCTTTCGTTATGCTTATTCACTTGCCACGAGCTAGCAATGGCCGCAACCACCTTCCTGCTTTGAACACACTGCTGCGTGGCTGATTGCGTATGATAAATGATTGTCAAGTCGCCCTTCTTTGTACCACCTTCAGGCCTTCTGAATATGAAAAAAAGTTAATAAAACTATGTAAAAGAACAAATGAATAAATAAAACAAGTGCTCCCCTTAAATAAATCAGCAACGTTGAATGGCTCAGCATAATAATGTATGGAACATATATGCCGCCAATGTGCAGCAAGCAGATTAGCTTGTCAGTATATGCTCCCACGCATCACAGACTAGATTCCAAGAGAGGGCACGGGAATTAGGGGGTGACAGAGAGTTAGGGGGGCAGATGAGCTTAGGAATTGAGCGGGTGTAAAGTGGCAGCAGAGAGCACAGGACCGAGTTGACTGTCGGAATATGGAAGAGGTCTTTTCAATGCAGTCACAGTAGTCAGACTGATGTTGATGATGATCATGATGATGACGACGACGACGACAACGATGATAATGATCATGATGATGATGATATGTACCCGAGTGACAGTGGCCATGGCCCTCTTTCATGACCACTCGGAGAGGAATGAATAACCCACGTGGACAAAATTATGCTGAGCCCTATGCTACAGTGTGCCTTATGAGAATATTGTAATCGGGACACGCCAAAAATCAAACATATAATTTTACAATCAAAATGGATGGTACAGTGAGCTCATCAACAGTACTATGGCACAGAAGTGGGCTAGAATATGAAGGGAAAAGCCTTAAATCCCATATTCACAAATTATTCTTAACATTGATTCATGTTTTCTTTATTTCCCTTCACAGTTAGATCATATGATGAACAAAGGTCAGTATTTCCGATTGTATCTAGTAGTTATCTTCACACTGCTACCCTTTTCGTACACTGATAACGCACGTCGAATTTACAGAAACATAAAGAAAACAGCAGAAATATGAGATTGCTCTACCTATATGGGTCTCTGTCTCCTACCACAGCCTCTTCGCAAACCAGGGCATGAGAGTAATCTGGTATGAGCACTCACGTTGTCTACCTTATACCAACCTCATGCTTTGATGTATACACGTGGCGTAGTGTTATAGCCAGAAAAAGCTTGTGAAAGGATAAAATGAGTGCACATATGAACACACCATCACAAGACTTTGTAATCTGCCATCACGTGTACCTTGCCAGACGTTGTTTCCTGCCTCCTATCCCCCCATCCCACTTGCCAGCTGTTTAGGAAAGCTGATGGAGAGAATTGTGCTGACTCGCCTACAGTAGTAACTGGAGCATAACAATACATACCCGTGGCTTTGACCGGCTTTCGACGAGGACGGTCTTCCGTAAAGAATGTTATTAACCTTGTCACGTCTGTACAATCGCAGAAAATTTTAGAGATGTCAGTGTTCTTGGATGTGAAAGGTAAATCTGACAATGTATTGCATGAAACTATCTTGAATGCCTTGGGCAACATTGAATTGGGGGGCCACGTCTTCCAATGGATCTATTGGTATTTGAAAGACAGAACCTTCTTCGTTAAGACAGAAGATGGTGCAGCAAAGCACCATTATACTTATTGTGGTGTACCTCAAGGCGAGGTCCTGAGCCCAATACTTTTTAACCTTGCGCTCATCGGCCTCGTAGATGTCCTGCCGCCGCCTGTGCATCTGTCTATCTACGCAGACGATGTCTGCATTTGAGCATCAGGGGTCACGCGTCTACACGTACCAGTCAGGCTTCAGAGAGCGGTTACCCTGACCTCAAGCTACCTTCAAGGATGGGGACCAGAGCTGTCTTCTGAGAATTGCTCACTGCTTGCGTTTACGCGCAAGGCAATGACGCGATACGTCATCAGAAATAAGAGACACATGATCAGCTATCAAACGACTTACTGTGTCTTGGGAGTAATAACAGATTGTGACTTATCGTGGAGCCCTCACATCGCTCGCATAAGAAAAATTGCCATGATCACCTACGTTCTGAATTTTCTCGCGTAAAAACAAGGCAAGCTTCGGTACGAGCCATGCTTGAACTGTATACTGCACTTTTTATCGGCTTCAGCGCTACAGCCTGCCTGTGCTCGGCAAGGCACGAATAACAAACGTACGCGTCCTCTAGTCAATAGAAGCTTGAGCACTGAGAATATGCCTCGGGCATCGGAGACGCGCATCCTCGGCAGCGACTGTCGAAATCGCTCGTGATCACCCTGTCACAACCCACGTTCATGTCGATGCTTTAAGAACGGTCATAAGAGGTGCCACCCGGATTCAATCGCATCACCTCGCCTTTCTTCTAACTTGCAGGCCATGCTCTGCATTCTGCACTATTATTGCTCCACATCTCACGGTGATTCCCACGAAATTCACGCAACGCACGCAGCAAGACTCCATTATCTTTGTGGTGTCTACATTCACTGGAATCCCTGACACTCATCCCCGGAATTCAAAAGAAAGGAATTCGTCAATTTTGGTACTAAAACAAACAACACTACTGTTTCTGCTTGAGAAACACGGTGGACCCTTTCACATTTGCACAGATGGGTGAGCTACTTCAGCAAGCTCAATAGATGCAGTGGCAATTCAGGAGAAGTCTGTCACAATTAAATTTCAGGACATCCCATCTCACATCATCCACGGCTTTAGAACTCGCCACCATTTGCGCCACTTTGGATTTTATAGTAGAAGAACCACAGCAGGCATTGTCAATCTTCTCCGTTTCCATAGCACCCCTCCCGGGCATCACCTCGCCATAACTTCATGAACCAAATGAACAGCTAGTCACTGAAATAATACTGCTTCATCACGTGGCTATAGAGAAACATCCTAACATAGCGTATCAATGGATACCGCGCCACTGTAGCATCGATGGAAATAACAGGGCAGATGAAGCAGCCCGAGCTGCTCATGATGATTCCCCTTCTGAAGCTATATCATTGTGAAGAACGGACGCTGCTATATGGCTTCAGTCACTTGCACGAGAACTAACATTTACTTAGTGGAATTCGACGGCATTTACCTACGTCCGCCTTCATAAATTGAACCCACACCTACAGCTCCGCTTTCTGTCAACAATAACAAGAGCTGAAGACACGCTTTAGTGCCATCTGTAGATGGAGATGGCCTTTACGAATGGTTATTCGTTTCGAATGAGAATGGCCAGCAGCCTGACATGCGACAACTGTGGATGCGCGAGACATTTTCCTATCTTCTCTGCGACTTTTCTCGCTTCACTGCGTCAAGAACTGCGGAAAGTTATAGATAGACTTGACAATCATCAATTGTCGGAAGAAACGGTTTTAGGAAGATGACCGAGAGCGTCCTCGGCACGCAAGGTATTGAGGCGTAGTTGCGCTTCTTGCGGGCAAGTGGTCGTGGAGAAAGACTGTAAGCAGCGTCGTGGATTGTACTGTTGTCATTCTTCCTTTTTCGTTCTCCTTCAACGTCCCTTCCTTGTCGTCTTTTATTTCCCTTACCCCCTTCCACAGCACGGGGTAGCCAGTCGGTCTGAGAACTGGCTAACCTCCCTGTTCTTCCTCCATCCTTCCTCCTCCTCCTTTCATACTATTCTCGTGTTGGCACAGCGATGAGTATATCACAAGAAGGCTGTCACGGTAATATCACTCCATTTTTTTTCTCTTTGTATATTTGAGCCACAATTTCGGTGTTCAAAAACATCTTAAACAGACTGCTTTCTCGTGTAATAATAAAATAAAGTGAAGATAATAGAAATGTGAGACTTCGTGCATTGAATAATTCAATAAATACCTTGTCGAGAACGCCGCTGCTGCCATAACAAGTTATTGACGTCACTGGAGAGTCACTCTCAACCGTTGTTCTAACCATGTTGCTGAACATCCACATGTCAACGTTGTTTTCTTGGACGTATATTATTGGCGAAAATCCAGTTCTCCTGTTCTCGATCATCGATAGTTGGTGCGTCTCTAGCTGTGTACGATATAACAAGATATCCTAATAAATTCTTGTTTAACGTACCTGTTGTCTCACTCGCGGAGATGTCCATGTCTGTTGTCTGATGCAAGCAAGGCCGTTTCTCCACTTGGTCGCATTCATGACACGTCAGTGCCTACTAGTACATATAAGAGAGTTCGCAGCGATGCTAATTGTAAACAGACAGCGCGAATAGTGCAGAGGGTCAGCTGAACGCAAGTGTTCGCAGTCGTAGCATGACAGCACCGTTACCTGGCTGCAAACAAGAGCGACAGCTGCACGTGTAAATGTACGCCATGCTTTTTTTATGCTTGCAACTATTTACTGCAGGTTTATTACCTTTTCGAGTTCAACTTTTCAGTTGAAATTCTTATTACAATACTTGTCTTTTTTCTACGCTTTTCCAAACTCGAGTTCTATGACGGTCATTAGAAATTAGAAAGAAACGCCATCTAATGTGGTAGCGCTTGAACATCTATAGAATTAGACTCCTAAATTAGGCATACCAGTGGTATGCTTGCTTAATTCAAACATTGTGAGAATGTAAACTGTTCGAAACACTGCATTATACGAATAGACCGAAATAAAAAACACAAGGTCATGTGGAAACCTTGCTGTACAGTCAGAAGATGCGCATGTGTTTCTCCAGTAAATTTCAAGCACTCAAAACACACCGTCATTGCACTATAATAATTTCACGTAGCTGTCGGCAGAGAAATCAGGAAAGCTCATTAGGCGAATCTTGCGCTTACTGAGAAGTAAATAAAGAGCACTTATTAACGTTGCCTGTAACAAACACTGGTGTTGGCAAATCATTATAGTGCATAAGGGTCTCTTACGCCATTCAAGCAGTACTGACAAGCCGGTGATTAGCACTCATTGATTATGTTTTACGATGACAGAGTTGTACTGTGAACCTCTTAGCGAATGATATCAGTTTTTATTTTTAATAAATATGTTGTTGTTAAATATTCGCATAGAGACAGGGGTTGCATAATAAATGTTTAACCAGTTGATTTGTCAATTATGTTTGAATTTCGAAGGATCACTGCTTCAACGATTCCAAACCATTTCAATGTACTGCAAGCTTTTGCTAGCCATGTTGGCGAAACAGTCACTGCACGAGCGGCCACACTTAAAACAAATATAGACAGAAAAGGAGGTCTGACGAGGGCGTATTCCACCAGTCATATGTGGAACTTCTAGTGTAAATACCCCTACTTTCGAATCTGACTATACAATGGAGATAGCATTAGTGCTACACTTTAAGGGAGCCAAGAAATTTATAACATGACAATCGTATCCAAGTTTTATTTCAGTGCGAAGTTGCTTCAACGCTTCTCAATACAGCTCTGCTCACATTGCCCCCAAAGTTCAAGCACAGACACCACAAAAAAGTTGGAGGTGCATTCGCAGGCCTGCCTACTACTGGAGATGGTCGACTGCTAGGAAGTTGAAACCAGCGCCAAGACATTCAGTTAGTGGAAGAAGGTGAAAAATGAAGAACTAACTTTTAGCATATTTCTTTTCCATGACCCCACATTTCTTCCCTTGTTTGTCTTCGACAGCGCATGTCTTACAAGTGATAGTAATAGCATTCTGTCCTGTATAGATTCGCTATTTAGGTGACGTCGGCAGTGGGAACACGCAGAGACAGAATCAAGCATACTAAATGAACTGTAATGTAGCATTTGAACCATCACTTACAGCGCACTCGGACAAGTCAAGTGCACAGGCACGATCCGTAGAACAGCGTCTCTATAAATGCGCGCATTCACGTGCCCGCCACGGTTAGAGTACGACCTTCGAGAGGCTTGACGTGTGCACCTGCATGCTTTCCAAGCTGCTAATAACGTCGGTGTGGCGATGGAAGTATTTTTGTTTTCGTGTACGTATCGCGACCTGTACGTTCGGTCGTGGTGGTGCCTTGTCACAACAACACGTCACAACAACACGGCACTACATTTTCTGACGACAGCTTTAAATATTTTAGGCGTAACTGTCAAGGCAACAGAAAGTACTATAACTCATTTATAAGCAGACAGACAGGCATTATCACTTTTGTTATGACTAAGCTGTCAAAACAAATAAAATCCAACGTAACCATCAAACATTGAAGCGCTAAACACCGACTAATACACCTACAGTCATAAGAGAGCACTTCGAAGACCAACGACCTCGCGCACAGTATCTTCTTGCTATTTTCATTGGTTTTTTGCTGCATGAATATTAGCTGCATTGCTGTTGGCATTACATAGTCCTCTAACGGGAAATGTTTCTGGCACTACCTGGAGAAGCTTCGTTTACACTCGGTGAAGGCTATTGACTGTTGTCTTTGCTGTCACTGAAGTCAGGAGGCGTTGTAGTGAGTAAAGACAACTTAGTTAAACGTAAGAAATACAATACCGCGCAGGTGTGTCCGTCACGGGCATGTTTTGGTTAGCCCGAAAGCACTAAGTGGGTAAGTTGCGGGAGTGTCAGCGGGTCTTCGAGACTTTACCCGTGCAAGGGCCAAGGTTTATTACTTGTGCTAACGCACGCAGAAAAGAAAAAAAATGACGCGAGAAGCAAGATGAACAGTACGAGGTGCTCTCGCTGGGCCTATCAACAATCGTGTTGTTCTTAATTTGCGCGGGCATAGCGTGAGAGAAGTTAGCTCCACCGAAATGCAAGCGCTATTCAAGGAAGTCAACGCACTTTAGCAGACGACGCGGTGAAGGCTCCGCCTACAGCCGTCACTGCGCTTGCGTGCTAGTCCCCAAGTACTCGCGAAAGGCGCTCCGCAAAGCCATGACCCATGGCCACACTGTGCGGTGTTGAAGGTGGAAGTGGACACACTTGTACGCTCGTGTGTTCGCGCTTGATTCGCCCCGGACGTAAAAAAAGACTTCCGCACGTCTAACGACCTAACAAACAAGACGATGTACTATCTGCGTCAAATAAAACCCGAAAAGCGGCAAGCCTTCGCGATGGTATTGGCCCCGGGACCTTATAGTGGCACCTTCTCGCGTGTGACGCCAGCTTGAGGATTCAACTTACAACCGTGCTGCAGTCGCTGCCGCACCTGTACGCAGATAGTTTGGTCCAGAAGAAAACTTTGTCCAATTAACAGCCTTGCGAGGGACAAAAACACCTTCAACGACTAATTTCGAGTGTGATTATATTTTTGTTTTAGTTGCGGTCAATTAGACAGGGTCAGGAAATGTCCGGGATAGTGCGCCAAAGCCACCGACCACATTAGGAATAAGAAAGCGAAACTATGTGTCTGTGCGTGTTTTTCTTTGGTATCCGTACTACCAACCAGCCCCGCCACGTTAGCCTAGTGGCTAAGGCACTCGGCTACTGAGCCGCAGGTCGTGGGATCGAATCCCGGCGGCGGCTGCTGCATTCTCGATGGGGGCGAAAATGCTGTAGGCAGGTGTGTTCAGATTTAGGTGCATGTCAAAGTACCCCATGTGGTCGAAATTTTCGGAGCCCTCCACTATACTGCATTTCTCCTAATCAAATCGTGTTTTTGAGACGTTAAAAGCCTGATGATATAACTATTACTCGTTTCGCCGCACGGGTGTTTTTGTCGTTGTTTCAGTAGCCATGCCTTTCTCCCGCACCTATAAGTATGTCGGCAAAGTTTGCAGTTATTCACCAGGCCCCATACCGAATTTTAGTTAGACAGTGGAAGTTGTTGGGTGTCCGATGAGGAACATTTAGCCACAAAAATTATTCGAATCGATTTATCACGAGTGGAGAAAACAGGTTTTTTTGAAGCGGCGCGAAACGAGGATGAGAAGAGGCGAGCTCGAAACCATTGCCGATCCTCCGCGTAGCCTTCGCAAGCCAAATCTCTTCCCCACCCTCTCCAGCATCCAACCATGAGGTGACGTACGCATTACGTGCCCAAACAAGTCCAACCCCCGAGCACGCGAGCAGCGTTACTTTGTTGACCAGCGTTATTTTGTGGCCTTCTGCCTGTTTTTGCGGAATGGTTTGGAAACCTTGGCTTAGACGTTGTAGAATAGATGAGCACAATGAGTGCGCGAACGCGTAGGAGCGTTTCACGGTGGTCGTCTGCTCAATGCGCTGACCGCGGGGACACGAACACATGCGAAACGCTGGTACATCAGCCCCTCATCTCGTAGTGTTTCACGAGGAAAAGTTAAAGAAAAACACGCACAATTTCTTATTGCGTCTCATAATTTATTTTAGGTTTTATTATTCTCTTGAAGCAACAAATGTATAATCTACGCATGTTGTCTTAAATGATTTTTGCCATGTCACGTGGTATACTGCTGACGACGTCAGAGAGAGTCGTCGACGTAATGACCAACGTCGCTGCATTGCCGTGTACATAGGGCCATTCATACGTCCCCGTCATGCCCTCAATATCTAGGCATGCGCCGGCAGAGGGGAGGGGGAGCAGCGTTCATCTTTATATTTTACCTATTTACACGGTGCGTAGCGTTGCAAATTTTGGAAGACGTGATCATGAACGCCTCGTCTACGCATTGTGCTTGTCAGCTCGAAATTGTCAAACCTGGTTAGTGGCCCTCTAAGAGCGTTTCGGAGAGTCCTCGTTTCCGTATGTGCGTCCAAACCCATGCTGTGTCGCCGGCCTGGTTCTGCGGCGAGAATTGTACCGGCTTGAGTCGTACTCTTGCTGCTGCTGGATTCGCAAGCGTGCTAGTTCCCTTGCTTCTTGCGCTGGTTCTATAAACTTCGGGGCATCCGGTTCAATGTCGTGGTATTCGTGCGCTAGCATCGCATCTAACATGGTTCGTACTTCTCTTCCATGAATTAGGCTGAATGGGGTCATCCGGGTTGTTTCTTGCTTGGGCGTGTTGTATGCAATCGTGATATATGGCGAAATTTCGTCCCAATTTTGTGCTTGACGTCTACGTACAATGAAAGCATGTCTTCAATTGTTTTATTCAGACTCTCTCAAAGCCCGTTCGTTTGTGGGTGGTAGGCAGTGGTCATACGATGGGTTGCTCCACTCAGCATGAGGACTTGATCCAAAAGA